GTATATATATATGTATATATATATGTATATATATATATGTATATATATATGTATATATGTATGTATATATATGTATGTATATATATGTATATGTATATATATATATATGTATATATGTATATATATATATATATATATGTATATATATTATACTTATATATTATACTTATATATTATACTTATATATTATACTTATATATTATACTTATATATTATACTTATATTATATAAGAACGATTGTGATTGGCTGAAATGCGTGCTCAATAAGTCGATTAAGCACGGCAAAAAGCCTTGATAATTTTCACAAAATATTAAATTTAATCAATAAAATATAACATGTTGCATAAAAACACTCAGTCATTTACTTTTGAGAGATAGCTGATTATTTTAACCAGATCATGTGTAAAAAGTAAAGTTTAAAGATGTACTCGTTAGTGAACTGTAATTGGCAAAGTCGAAGAGTTTTCTTTCAATAAATTTCGGTAAAAACGTTTGACAAAAACACACTTACAAACGTTAATACTCGTGAATTAGATATTGGCTTCATTATATATAGTTCTTCAGAATTCCCAGGATGGCGTGCTCATCCCGTGAATTTCGATTGTAAATTTGAACATTTTTCCCTGGTAGTACTGTAACATTGCATGCAAGTTGTGTAATTTTGATTAATATAACCAATGCTAAATCACACATTGGACTTTCCCTAATGGCAGTTCTTGGTCACTAATAAATATCTTGTTTTTCTTTACCTTTAAGGTCACGTAAACGATCTGCTCCGGCAAGACAAGATTTCATTGCTTGTACAGCTCAAACACCGGAGAAAATAAAATGTGAACGACGCTCTATTCCTTACACGAAGTATTGCTATCTTCGTATCCTTTTTTATTATCTGACCATGTTACGGCCAAAAGCGTTTTCTTTTCATTGACACTGTGATTAACCAATTGATTTTGTTTTTCTGTGCTGAGTGAAAATCTAAATATTTCTTCTAAATATTTCTACATGCAGTATATATTTATTTAAAATCTGCCAATTTTATAAAATAGTAAGGTTGGTTTCCTTCAAAATCTTCACCACTAAATGGGATCGTCTGGTGTCGGGTGAAATGAAACCAAGCTAGGGTAATGTAGATTTTGAAGAAAATGAACTCTTTATGGTATTTTGATAAGTGGAGTAGTCTCTGACATTTCGTGAACCATTACAAACTTATAATATAATATTTATTTTAGAAAGACATCTTGTTTGACCTTAACTTATTTTAAGACATACTAAATGACACCAAACAACAATTATTTCATCAATGTGCTGCTGATCTTTCGCCAACGTCTAAATGTTCACGAACCACATTGGATCTTCTTTATGATAAACCGTTGTGTCGTGAGCATTCAACAACGACGGTAAGCTTGTTTCTCACTTTTACATGTGTAGGGGGTGTTAGTGGCACAGTACAGTAGTTAATGGGTGTGCCTATCACGTCTTCGACGAACGTTCGTTTTCTACATTATCATAGGCGTAAGAAGCAACTTCAAATTTAGTTTAGTTTAATTTATTGAATTTCGTCAAAGTTGGGACATACGTGACAGGAGAGGACACAGGATAAACTCCCAACTGACAATCCCCTTCTGCTGAAGAAGCACTTCAGAACAGTCCGGCTTCCGCGTGTGATAAATTGGACTATTAGCGAGAGAAAGTCTGACAGCCATCTAGTGTATTGTGTATTGTTTAATTATAAACGTATAATTCAAAAGTTTTGTAATCTTGATTTAGGAGGTTGCAGTGCATCCCATGGCACAACCGGTACAACCAATCATTCCTCCACTACAGTTGTCTCTTCAAAAACCACTTGCGAAGAAGGCAAGGAGGAAACCGCAAGTGAAAGCCACGCCAGCACAAAAACCTGCCAAGTCAAATCGTAGACCCACAAAGAAAGAATCAAATAAGACTAGCAGGTCTGATAAAACCAAGAAAGGAGGTACTCAACCGGTATCGGGTAAAGGGAAACAAGAGGCACTCAACCGCGCTGCAAACCATATAAATTTCGAAAAATCTTTATTTCCTACGGAAAGCGCAGAAAGAGAACAGCTTCAACGGTCGTTGATTTATCCTCTAAACGGAACCCTAAAATTGGATCAGCTACCTTCGAACAAGAACGACATGTTTGTTAACGATAGCTTTAAGGAGCAAGAAATGTTTGATGATAATGAAATGGATGTAGATGACAGTTTAGAGAACGACGATTTATCTGAAGATTTGGGTGATATTTCCCCCACTGGATTACTGAGGGAGACTGTATTAAAACTACCACCCGAAAGCCCTGATCCAACAGTTAGTTCACACACCCAACCTCGAGTCTCGCCTGTTGAAGCCTTCTCGATGAACTCTATCAACGAAGGAAATCTTCATAAGCCTATTAGGAAAGATAATTTGTGCACAAACGATATTTCACCGAGGGTAAACCATAGCAATGTTACACCCGGACTTCGACCCTCACGCACCACCGTGATTACTTTACCAAAATACCCATCAAGTACGACGTCGTATAGTGCACTCTTGACGAGACAAATTCCACTAGGAATAAATACGGATTACACTGCGTTCAGGCCTATTGGACCGACAATTATTAAATCAGAAGTTGGGGTGAAGAAAGGAGACCCCCGACCTTTTGATGTGAACCATGGCCTCCAGTTATTCCCGTTACCCTTCGAGCCGGTGTTGAACTCGTCAGTAGCATGGGGCGGAGGAGGCAAGCTTTTGTTGAACAACAGAGCGCGACCGGTATTATTTAACTCTCAAAACCCCGTGACATTCTCCCCACCTTCGCTCTCCCCACACGTTTCCCCTCAAATCACGCTAGGAACAGCATTTAATTTCGATCGTCCTACCGTGTTACAGCACTCGACCAGTCCATCACCAACGTTGAGCCCCTTCAGCGCTCACCTACCTAATTCCCCGCACGGCAAATTGGTTCCACGAACGTTGCGTTTGGAAAGTCGTGGTAACTCAAATTCCAACGACATTCATGATCCGTTTTTTGGTGCATCGTTTGACAAACCTTGACAGCGTTTAATGTATTACAACTTGTTCTTTTTTAGATTTCTACAGATGTTAAGTATCATCTCTAAACTGCGACAGTATAGATTGTACATAGTTTTAATCATAATTTCTTCTGGTATATGGTATTAAAAGTTAATGTAAAGAGATTTATAATAAATATATTCTCTGAATATACATACTCTTGCATGGTCATATGTAAAAAATTGAAATTTACAAGGCGCCTCTAAAATATGCTAGTTTGATCAAATTACCGAGGGTGGTAATCTCAGTTCAGCGTATTCGCGGCTTAGGAACTGAGCTTACTTTATTCGAAAAAGCAGGAACTGATCTTCGCTAACTAATTACTTTTTTCGTTTGCCGCGAACAATAAGGCAATTCCAGCTTTTAGTTTATGCGTGCAGGGGAGGATGGGAAGTAAGGTATCATATTGCTGGTTATGCTGAAGAAAAAATAAAGATGGCGGCCGTGAAAACACGGAGAGATAGCTTATACTTGTAAATATTGAAATGTTTCGGCAGTTTTCATTGAAATTTTTCAGCATAATCAGCAATATGGTACCTTTAATACTTCCTGTCACCCCCTGCGCACATAAATTAAAAGCTGGAATTGCCTATTCAACTAGTGGAAAACGAGCTATAATATAGTGTTGTTTCGCACTTTTAAGGCGCCGATAACTTACCGAATGAGCGCTAATGCTCAAATATGAAATGAACAAATACATATACGAAATGAACAAATACAAGAAATAAATGAATTTGAAATTATACAGTTGCATTAATGATATACCAACCGTGTCATGTTTGCTTGCATCTCATTGGAAGATAGCGTATCACGAGATTCGTGAATCTCGACTGTCTCCTGGCAACAGCTCTGAGCGATGGACATTACTTTTGTCCACCGCTTATTACTTTTGGTTTGTTTTTTCTTTGACACTTTATATATAATGAAATACTTATTGGGCCTTTCGGGAAACAGTATGTTTTGTGGACCCGAGACTACCAAGTCTGGCAGCGTCGGGTCCACAAAACATGCTGCTTCCCTCGTCCACTATTAATTTCGCGGCAGAAGTGTTGCCCTTTTATACGAACCTTGTTAAACGAGCAGGAGTGTTTTATTAGGTTTAAAGTCAAGAGCGCGCAGCGCGATGTATAGGAGGACGTTTGTGGGATGGCGGCGATACGAATTTTTTATGCGATTCCACAGTTCGGTGAGATCCGTAATAGCGACAATTAAATTTTTTTCAACCAGCATACACCCAGCCTAGTCCCAGGCACTCTTCGCTCTTCAATTTGTTCCCATCCTCGTTCCCAGGGCCTTACGGTCGCCCGCGACCTTCATAGGCCCTGGGATACACGGAACCGGAAGTGCAAGAAAACATGCAGTAGTTCCTAAAGCGCATGCTCTTGAATTGGGACGCATCAGCGCCCGTAACAATTTTTACAGACAAGTAATGTATTAAGAATTAAGAAACGAAGTATTTGTGTTGACATATTTTGATGGGGTGGCCAACACTAACCTGCGATCGGGCATGCTCTGGGAACGAGATTGGGGTACTATCACACTTCCTGCACGTGTTTATATGCTGGCTTCAGAACCATAGATATAGAACGACAGGCGCTATGGCTGCTGCGAACCATCAACCTGCTCACGAATTGTATGGCGAATTAGCAAATGGAAAACGCTCTAAAGGACGAACGTGGACTTCTGAGATACAATGATGTGTGCAAACAAGACATGACGACCAACATTTACCTAAAATCGTCAGAAGTATCATGGCCACAACCTCGTTCCCAGGGCTTTTCCATTTTTGTCACGGAAATCAAAGGCGTGCACAGAGGACTAGGGACTAGTCTGGTCCCGCCTTCCCAATCAATCTCGAGACCCGAGCCTGCAATCCTCTGTGGAGTGCTTCCCAATGACAAAATGAGAAAAGCCCTGGGAACGAGTTGTAATGGCCAATAACAGAGAAACATGGCGTCACTCAATAAAGTCGGCTGCCTGTGAAAGTTAACAACAAAACCATTACTTGATAGCCACTTTATTGCTTTCCCCTAGACCGAGATTATCTAAAGTGCGAGTTGCGAGTTACGAGTATATTGTTAATTTCTAATAATATCGGGTTTAATTTTAACCCAGGGTTAACACTAACCTAGCTTTGAAGCACCGACCAGGTGTTTACACCTGTGCGCGTGGTTTACACTAAAAAATCAAATTGAAAACTGTATGGCATCCTGGCGGATGGGATTTTAGCTTTGTCTCAATTTGGCGCCAATTTTCAGCTTTTGAAATAAACATTCATTGCATTTATTTTTATACTTACAAACTTGTAAATAGCAATCGTTTTGATGTACTGATGGTTTTTTCCCGTGTAAAAATAAATTTTTGTATGTATATGTATGTATGTACAAATTGAATTATTTTAACTTCAGTTGTACTTCATCCTCGTTCCCAGGGCTTCTCGGATGGTTGTACTTCCGATGAAAAGGACTTGAGTTTAGGCTCTGGAGTTTAGGGTTCCGAGCGTTCAGTATATATAAACAAACTGAGTCGGTGTCTAGTCATACTTACTAATAAAATTAAATAACCATTTTAAGATTAGAAAGCACAAAATGGTCTGGATAACTACTAGATTTAATTAAACACAGAAACGGCAAATATAAACTTGCACTTTTATTTTCAATATAATTATTTTAATTCTTGAACATACGTACCGATGGATCTAACAAAGTAAACAAACAAGTAAAGGCCGATTTTCATCTCGACCGTATCGTAGCATTTTCTTTTGTGTCGAAGTCATTAGTTCCACTCTAGTGGTCAGAAAACAAAGAAATACGCTACGCTACGATACGGTTGAAGTGGAAAACCAGCTTAAAGTGCACGGAAAACGTGTTGAAATTAACGAATTTAGTTACAGGGAACTTAAGGTAATTCCGCAGTTTTGCATTGCGCACTTTTACTGCGCATATCTTATAACTTATAATTTCATTCATTATACGTATCGTTTAAAAAAAATCATTTTATTACAATTTTATGTTACTTCAAAACATCTTTGGTTACATTCGTGCAAAGAATTGCGTTAAAATCAATGTTTTCAAAAAAGGCATACAAAAGTGTAGCTAGGGTTCCTGTGTCTGTAGTATATTTATTTACTTGTATTTCACGTTTTAATGCCACAATTCCATAAGAAGATCGGTGACCCCCGTTTTTTAACTGATAATTTAATTCTTTAATGCATTTTACATTTCATATCCGAAATTAAAAGAAAAATCATTTCTGGATCCTGAAAAAAAATCCTTTATCAATGCATGTTCTCAAAGAAAGATATGTAAAGAAATGTGGAAAAGACATCTGTGGATTAGAGTGTACACGTTAGTATAGTTTCATTTTGCTCAAAACACAATTTTTTTTCAAAAATAGTTACAAGATAGGTTTACTAAAGCAAAATCCGCGCTAAAAACGTCAATAAATATCGGTCTGTTGTAATTTTGCTGTTACTCGTAATGAGCATCAAGATGGCGCCATATTGGGGTAGAGGTGGTATATTGTGATTGTCATATCTTCTTAACGAGTTCGGTGACCCCGACTTTTTTGTGTGATTTTACTTTAAGTATATCATAAACTCCATGCCTGGGAAGTTTCAGCACATTCTCATTTCGGGAACAATTACTGCGAAATTACCTTAACTTCGAAGGTCATTAATATTTATGAAACAAAAAACCCTTCGACTTTGCCTTCCATGTCGTCCATATTAATATACTTCCAAAGCCTAATTCAAAGCGAGGCTAGCGACTCGCAGCTCCCAACTCGCAACTCGCAGCTCGCAAAATATCCGCCCCCCCTAGACCTAGTGGTAATATCATGTTACAAGAGGTTATTAGATCATGTACGCGTGATATTTGTAAAATTTCGACTATCAAATTTTCAAATGTTTGGGCATGATGTTTGGGTGGTAAAGGTATTTACCTGCATGTTTAATTCGGGGTTTTTCTTTTTATTATATAAAATAAACAGAAAAGCGACGGCTCTTTCCACATTTATACGACGCCATACTGTCTATAGTATAACTGAACAGTCAACGGCAAAATCTTTTTGTTAAATAGATATGATATATTAAAAAATTCATTAATAATTCACGAGGAAAACACAAAAGAAATGAATGTTTAATCAATGTTTGTAAATCGGATAAAGATTCGTCCTGATTTACATAAACTTCAGCTTTGATTTTCTCGGCTTAGACAATGTTTATTCTTAAAATTACTTCGCCAATGAACTCATAAGATGGGTCATTTTTTAAGTACGATAAAACATTCGCATCCGATCTGTATCTCATATACAATGAAACTCTCGCCTTCGGCTCGAGTTTGTATATCAGATACAGATCGGCTGCTCATGTTTTATCTAGTACATATAATATAATATATATATATATATATACAATGACATAAACATCGGAATCTGCATGTATAATGAGTTACACAAATAAATCGCTTGGTAGCAAATTGAGACGAACTTTATACGTATTTTTAAGCGTTTAATGGATTTTTAAGTGAATATATATTTTGCTGGGCTGCCTATGCTAATAACTAGCTGTATGCAAACCCGAAACATAGCTCATATTGCATTATTTTTCGGGACACCATGCCTGTATTATATAACTGCAAACTTCAGCAAAGTCTTTACAACTTTGCCCAGGGTTTATTTTAAGAAAAATTTAGAACTGCACATATATAGGGATGTTACGAAGGCAACGGGTGTTTGAGGGGGGGGGGGGGGTTCTCCCACTATAATCTCTTTTAGGGAGCTTCGCTCGCATCAATTTTACCTTCTTTTACATCACCCCGCCCAGCACGTAAGTGATTTGTGAGGAAAATAGGAGGGTCTGGAGTCCTCCTCCAGAAAACGTTTATATTTTTGATGCTCAATTAATGACAACATTTCTGGAATTTTCTGGAGCATCCACAAGGGTAACGAGTAAATGAGATTATGAGAAGACTGTTTAAATTAAGGTTATTTTTGTTAGTTTGGTGACTGCACATTTGTGTTTTAAGAACTGCACAAATGGGTTTAGAACTGCACATTTTGTGTAGAACTGCACGTTAAAATAAACCCTGACTTTGGTAATGGTAATGGTTTATTAACACATTTAGTAGTAGTTACGCTAATTTACATGTCATTCATTAAAATTAAAGTTTTACTAATCTATATCTATTTACAATATGTATAAAAACAACTAATGCATACCTATTTGTACATTAACTGATAAAATTTTAAAAATGGTAATCCTAATCAACTAATCTAGAATTATATAAGTATATACAGTAAACTAAAGGACTGTGTTTAAAACGTTCGGTTTTAGAGGGGAAATTATATAATTTCTGACTGTTAGTTCTTGTTTCTTTTTGCCTAATGGATTTTAGTTTCTTTGGTAAGAGGCTATGAAGTTTATGGTTTGGTTCCAGCATTTTTTTAATTAGAGATACACATAATTCGTCCCTACGTTCTTCCAAAGTTTGTAATTTTGTCTCAGTTATTGCTTGGTCGTAGTCTAGGTTTGGGTAAATTATTCTAAGTACTCGTTTTTGAATTCGTTCAATGCTCTTTTTCTGCTCTTGGGTTAGACCTCCGTTCCAAATCTCTGCACCATATTCTAAAATAGGACGAATTACTGAACAGTAAAATGCTAACAAATCATCCATGGGGGCACCATAACTCTTCAAGATCTTTAATAAATACAGACGCTTGGCCGCTTTCTTTGTAATATATGCCATATTAGTTTTCCATTTAAGATCGCAATCTAACCATATTCCCAGTAACTTATATGACTTCGTTCGAGAAACATTATGCATGACCACCAACATAAATTGGGGGTATAGGGGTTATATTTTTCCTAAAGTCAATAATCATCTCCATACACTTTTTATAGTTTAGTTCCATTCCTTCGTCCTTTGCAAACTGTACCACCTTGTCTACGTTCATTTGAGTATTACCGATTGGGATGCCACCTAAATGGTCACTGACATTGATTACTTCCGATAATGTTGTGTCATCCATAAACATCGCTACGTCCTGGTCTTCTACGGCATTGCATATTTGATCTTGGTTATTGGGTATAATAGACGTTGGTAATTGGTTTATTTTTATTATAAACGCAATAGGATCCAACTTACTCCCTTGTGGAACGCCTCCCTTGATTCTTTTACAATCAGACTGTTCTCCATGGAAAGACGTTACTTGTGATCTGTTATAAAGATATGATGCAAACCAAGCAACTACAGCCGGACGAATGCCGATTTGCATAAATTTTTTTAGCAGCACATTATGATTGATCAAGTCAAATGCCTTTCGAAAACCAAGAAACGTAATACGAACAATTCTTTGGGGGCTTTCCATTGCCATATGCCATTTATGTAACAAATAAATCAACGCATGTATTGTAGATGTTCCAGGCAGACCGCCAAATTGACTGCTACTGATTTTATCATAAACATCCTCATAAATTAACGTATGATTCTTGTACCTTTGATAATGTACTCGTTAATGAAGTAGGTTTTAAAAGGTCTACCCTAGAGCATGCAGGGTTTACTTTTAGGAATCCCACACACCCTCGAAATTTTCCAAATATCTGGGAATACTCTGCAAGTAAATGATTCGTTAAAGATGTAACATCTAATGTTTTTATTATCTTTACATTCGGGTCGAACGGACCGCTTGCTTTATTCGGGTTAAGTTTACTTAACTTATTTGCTACACTATCTGCGGTGATGTTCGGTAGTTGTTCTTCCATTCCAACATTAAACCAGCTATCATGTACTTCCGAGTAATTACTAGTAAGACTAGTAAAATATTCGTTCATCAGATTAGCTGTGTCTTTTGAATTTAGTGGGGTATCAGACTGTGGGCTATTTAGAATAAATTCCTGTTTACTCTGTCCAGTAATGTTTTTTATATTTTTCCACCACTGCTTTGAATTGGAACAACGAGTAGGTTTGATTTTTTCACTGTAATATTTCTGCTTCTCTTTCCGAATTTCTGAGGTAATTTTATTACGAAGCGATCTGTATTCTTCCATTCTCCCACGTTGGTACATTTTATTTCTGTTAGATATCATTTGTTTAATCCTCCCAGTCATAAAGGGTTTGTCATCTTTATGGACCTTGACAATTTTTGTTGGAAAACAGTTATCAATCATTGCATTAGTAATCGATAAAAAGGCGTTCACTTTGGTGTTAATACACGATGCCTCGTAAACCGCTGACCACGTCTCTAGACCGATACAGTCTTCAAACAAGCGCAACCTCGTTTCTTTAATGGGTCTCACTGTAATCTTTATCTCATTTTTACCTTGAGCTTGTTCTTTCGATTTCCATATAATAGCGCTGTGGTCTGAACAGCCAATCGGTGCCAGAGATACTGGTGTTTCATAAAACGAATGTGCATTGGTCAGGATTAAGTCTAGAATTGCGTTACCTCTGGTTGGTGTTCTGATTACTTGTTTTAACTTACAATGATTTTTAAGGACTCTTTCCTGATATCCATTACTTAAGGGATTAAAATCCCCAGTAATAATAATTGATGTATTTGGACTCTCGCTAATAAGAGAATCGTAACAATAGCAACAATATTCATAAAAACTTTCAACTGCTTCGGTATCCATCGACGGTGGCAAGTATACACACGCAAGTGCAAGTTTTGAAATTTTTCGTGGAAGCCATTTTGGTCGGAGAGTAATTCACAGACATTCATAGTCCGAGTTGTAAAAATCTGGACGAATTTTGAAAGGAAGTGATTCTCTTATATATACGGCCACGCCTTCTCCTCTTCGAGTTGGTCTATCTTTATATTTGCCTTTATAACTCGACTAAGTGACTAACCTTAAATCGTAATCTATTACTTCAAGTGCCGTTATGTAGAACAACTATATACATTCAAGAACTCTTACTTTAATCGAACAATTCATTTATGGCAGGCATTAAAATACGGAATTTTTACAAGGACACACTTTGCCTTCAGAGGCGTATTTTCGGTATAAATGCGCAGACTCAGAGAACGAGTGGCGAAGCCACGAGTTTAGCGTCGAAGACGCGAGTTTTTAGAGGGGTCTCTGAAATGGCATTTCCAGCGTTCTGAGAACAGAATTTGGAAAATCTTTGGCCATTTGCGCGTATTTGCAGAAATTTTTGCGCGGATTTTCAAAACAAATCCATTTTGCTCGGATTTCCACAATTGGAAGAATTTTAGCGCGGGAAATTAATTCCCTGCAAAGCTACTACTTTACAGTCTGGGTGGAACGCAGATTTGAGCACTTTCGTTAACCCTTGTTTTCACTAGCCGTAAACTTAAGCGTATATAAGCATCACAGATTTGCTGGCACAAGCCTAAACGCAAGCATAAAACAGAAGTTTAACAATATTAAAATCTTCCTTTCCCTTATGCATACGTGATACGCCTTACGCTTATGCTTGCGTTGCAATGAAAACCAGGCTTTAAAGTTGTCATAAACAGAAGAACTACAAACATTTTGGAAAACCTAAATAGGCCTATAGCTGAAATACTGTTTTATTCATCGTTTATACTTTATACAATCAAATTGTTATAACTCTTAAAACAAATAACGGTAAAATAACTAAAGACATATGAAATGTTTTTTTTCCGTAAAATCGTGAGGCTTAAGAGTTTTAAAAAGAGCATAGCCATGCAAAGCAGGGTCCGACGGTCCCTATCCTTTCTTAATTATTATGTCAATTGCCAACCAAAAGACGGTTTCAAGTGATGTCCTCCTTGTCTGCTTTCCTCCGACAACTCTGACATGTCGATCTCGATCATCGTTACCAATGCTGTTTTCAAAAAAGACACCATTGAACCACCGCTTTTGTGTCTTGCACTTAGACGATGCACTTGGTTTTCTCTTCTTATCTGTTAAACAGTATCGAACAGCAGGTCTGGCATCATAACTCGCAAGCGGTGGAAGATTGAATCCAATGACTAAAATGTAGTAGTGAAGAGTATCTGTGTTAAGTCTGCTTCTCGCTGGTGACTTCAGGATATTGTATCTTGATATCAGTCTCTCCACATCAGCCGAGTGTGGTTTGACTGCAATTACTCTTGCCAAGGCAATTACTAAAGTCTTCATTTCTTCCATACCAACAATTTGCTTCAAGACGCTTCTAGGACCTTAATCCGAATTGATGGGGTTGCTACTGCTTCTCGGTAGCTTTGGAAAACTCAAATAGGTCACAGTCAGGAATAATGACCTTGTGACATGCTCTAAGTTCATCATCGCTGACATCAACCTTCATCTGGGAAAGAGGCGCTAGATCTTTCCACTCATCAGTTTGAAGCCTTTCTGAAAGAAAGTTCTCTAAAGACAGAATCGGAGAATCTCGTTTCTGACAGCTTCGATTGTCCGTGAGTCAGTAACTTTCAGTAACATACAAATGATGCTGTCTTCGCCTTCTGATTCGTGTTTCCAGTTTTATCCCGTGAAATTCCCACTCGTTTTCAGATTCTTCACCTTCGTTTTAATTTCGGATTCGTAATTACGGATTACTTCAATTGTAGAAAGAAACAATTCCTCCCAGCCACCTATAACAGGCTTCTCCTTAGCTGTGGCTAGCCTTGCAAGAAACTTGTCTCTCTTTTTAACAAGATCAAAAACTAAAACGCTGTCGCTTTGAAGCTTCATTTGGAATCTTGAGTATAACATGACAATACCCATCAGAAAACAGCTCAGATGCAATCTGTCTTTTTTCAACAAGTTCTTTAACTGATAACCATCTGCATCTGGACTTGTCTTCAGATACATTAATATAGCCCTGATGCTTGTAAGAATCGAGCGCAGAAGTTGGCTTGTGTACTGAGACCAACGTACTTCGAAATACTGAGGAAACCTTGAGTTTGTTTTCAGTTGCCACTTTATGAAGTTTCCGTGTCCGGACACCAGAGGAATGGAAATATGTCGCAAGTGCTGCAACATCTCTAATCGAGTAGTTGACCTCGGTAACTGAAGAGCAAACTGAGTTCCAAGCCAGGGCACTACGATGCACTGCACACCAGATTTTAATCTGAAACAAACGTCACACCTCACATGGGTTCTACCAGGACCTCGCAGTGTGATTTTTTTATTGGATTTGAGTCACTTTTCTTACTAGCTTCACATTTGTCAGATTTATCTAGAAAGTCTGAATTGTCGTATTGTACTGTGATACAATTATCGTATTGTATTATCTGAATTATCGTAGTACGAACATGATGCGCTGAATAATTTCCGGAATTGAATATAAGAAATCCGCAAGTATCCGCCCAATGTGGAAATTTTGGCGAATCCTGATCTTTTGCCCTTGCATGTGTAAACAAGCTCTTGGTCCTGAAGGCCTGATTTCAAGACGAAGAACTTCTTCACAAGAATTCAAAGATAGATAATTATGGATGGTTGCATGCATATGAGTGATTCTATTGAATGTTAATTCTCACTATTTTCGCTTTCGCAGGGAGTAGGACTGATTTCTACTCACTGGCGAAGCAAAATTGTGTCTCGCGCATGCATTAATCCATTAATCACTTGGCGCATGCATTAATCCATTTCGATTTTCACTAACCAATAACTTTGATTTGGTTTAAGTTTTTCAAATATTTAGTCTACTTAATTCAGTTTAAGATTTCCTTTCATTGGCTGTTTTATTTACTCCCTTTCAAAACTGAAAAATCGCGCCGCGTTATCGAATTGCATCGTGTGTCTCGGCCTTTAATCTGAACCGTGCTTGCATACGTAATTTGGGACGATGAATGAAGAAACAAAAGCGCATTGGTGCATGGAGGAGAACAAAACCTAATTGCCGGTTTATTACAACAGCTTGTAATCCCTAAGGAACGATTACTGAGATTACATTAACATATATATTGTCCGAAGATCATTTTACAGTGATTTACAAATTGAATAAAATAAAAACATCTAATGCTTTGCTAATGCGCCAGTCCACATCTTACTTCATTCGCCAGCGTATTTGGTTTGGTTCAGGAACGCCTTTGTAAAAAACTGAAGATGGCAGAGTGGAAGAATCGACTTATGTCTCGCTTTGGTGGCAAGAAAACTAGTAAGTGCTTTGCCTTGTTCACTCGATTACAAGCCTTAATTCAACTCATTCCATCCATTGAGTTGCCATTATGTACACTTTACTCGGGGTTTTACGGTGTTTCGTGGTTCGGCTTTATTTTATTCCGTTAATTGCAGCGACGAAACTAATATCACACCACATCTTTCGTTTCTACTACTATCGCCTGGGCAGGACAATCTTGAGTAATGCTAGAGCAGGACCAAATCAGAGTTGAGCGAATTCGTTTCATAATGTTATCTCCTGTGGGCTGTTTGCATTGATATTGCATGATACTGGGTTGAAAAATTGCTCAGACAAATCTGAAGTCATGCCGCCAGCATATATATTCCATGCACCGATTGATCTCCTGCAGGACAGGACGAATTCAAAACAGAATGAATCCATAAACGAGACGGGTCTAAAATAATTTGAACAAGGATGATAAACTAACTTCCGAAAGGAATAATCATTACGGATTGAATATTCGAAACAGTACGCGAAAAATACTACCGATCGGCGATCGATCAGTCTGCAAACCAATGTTGTAGATTTTCGATTTTCGTTGCGCTAGCTTTTGCGTTGTCTTGGTCAATGGTACACATTGTACAAAGCTTTCCTCGCGGGCAAGCTGAAAGAAGAAAATAATTTAATTATTAAATAAGACCATAGTTAGTAGAAGGCGATTGCACTTAGTGGGGGAAATTGTTTGTAGCTCCGTACAGATACTTTTTGTATATTAGGTTATAAGCGCAACACTAAGATTACATCAGGACAAATAGTTATCGTTAAGCACTGCCGTCTTTAGACTATTTAAATGCAATAAACTATCATTATACGACGATTACAGTTCATTAATTGAAATTTCCCACAATAAGGTGGAAAGTACCCGCTAAGCGACTTTTCGCAGAGAATTACTCCTGTAGGTCGTGACAAACTATATATACGATCTTCACTTCAACGTTGGCCGAGCGGGGCACAGGACAAACATTGTACTCACTGCTTAACATTCGATTAGACCAATTCGGAACCGTACATGTGTAACCGTAATTTATAAAATAATTTATTTATTATAGTTTATAAGCGTAAACTCAAACATGCACGATTTCCCTTTATATATTCACACAAAGCCTGAAACCGTATGGAATCGAACTAATTCGAACTCAACCAACCGTGCTAAACGCAGTGACAGTATAACGAATTGCAGTTTGAACAAAAGGAACCAGACAAATTTGCTTCGTACGATTCCGACTTCGGACGATCTGATTCAGGAACGTGTAGTCTTAAATTGGAAAACAAATCCTAATCTAGGAAATAAATGCTTGCTTTTTGATAACTATTAGAAGATGATGCCGAGGAAAAGAAGACAGGAAAGAAGGTTTGTTTTCAAAAGAAGGCCACAGTGTATAGTGATAGTATTATTGTGGACGCCATACCTCAGCAAACTCAGTCGTCTGATGAGAATGACAACTATATCAAGGAAAATGGGTTGGTGGAAACAAAAGAGAAGCATCTGACACGGCAGCAAGTTGAATATATGCTAAAGAACCGTTTCAAAGATGATTTGGGGGAATGGAAAAGTCGCAAAGATCAAAGAGTGAGTAAAAAATACGCCCACTTATATAGTCATGAATGAAGATTCATAAAAGGGATATAAAATGTCCGCCAATTATACATTTTTGCAGTTTTAAGATGGCCCATTATTAGAGTGCATTTTAATCCAGTAGGGTGTTGGTTGTACAATGGTTAATGCACACAGGTCATTCAGATACGACCTAGATTTTTATGCAATATGGAGTTTTCTGTCATATTTACAAATTCGCCTCACTTGCATCGTGAAGATTTTAGACAAACGTGAAAAGCGACTTTTAAAAGTTGTAGCTGTAAATTTGCCATTATACAAACAACAATAACACTAAAAAGTTATTGTCTAGATTATTTGACGAGGAAAGACAGCACCCCAGAATGGTGGTTATTGGTCCACGTTAAAAGCCTTATTTCACGTGAATTCAAAACCGAAGATTGTGATTTCAAACAAGCTAGGACGCGGCTGTCGTTTTCTATAACAGCTCGCCTGACTTCCGGTTCACGTTCGTGAAACAACGTTGCTTACAATCTTCTGAATCATACATCTAACTACTTATTTCTGCATATAGATATTATTGCCCCGCTGGTGAAAATATCCTGGGTACGGCCCTGCTTGATTAAGTTCTCTAATATTACCTAAATCTAATTTTTATTAGCCTGTAGATGTTTGCTCCGAACCTTCAAGATCACCGAAACTTTCTACACGAAAACGTTATGGTTATGCTCCTAAAAGCCCTGATATCACCCACCCTACTTTGCCAAGAAAAATCGATCATAAATCAGGTATGATTAGCAAAAGTACACCTTAGTTAATTATATCAATCTTACATCATCTGAATTCCACATCTTCAAATTATCATATTGCAATTTCAAAGAATCCCATCATGAGGGGCTCACATCCTCTTATTCTTATATCAATGCTTATAGTATATCTCAGCTTCTCACATTCCGGCTTCATTCTCAAAACATCACATATCACTCGTTTCCCAGGAATACAGAAAATGCTTTTCAGGAGGTATACATTTAATTTAGTTATAATTTCTAAAGAGAGCGTGTCCCCGAATAATACACTCCATTGGATTTGATTGTTAGTAAGTCGTGTTCGACCATAGGTTCGACAGTGTGAAATAACCTGCACCTTTCTTGTGGATGTGTTCGGCATTCTACTCACTGCGTAGAATTCGCGGTCGTATCACGGAGTGTAAACATAGGACGAACCGCAAATTATTAGGGGGCGATTGCATCATGTGTTTTTCAGGTTGCAAAACGTAGCACTGTCGTACTGCTCCAGTAGCGGCGGGAGCGCGTCGATGAACATTTAAACAACTGCCATATGAGCCTACAATGTTCATTTTAGGAAGCGTACCGGTCGGAAAATGTTGGGCTTTATAGGTCCTCTTGAAAGCTTTAATTAATTATTTATAAACAACGTTAGTAGCTGCGCCGAACGTAAGATGCGGTTTTAGGTTAACGTTTATTCAAATGAGCACAATACATAGTAAGGATAATGGGCATAGAGACTGCCGTTGACAATTTTCCCTTTCTGAATAAAAGGCAATGCTCGAAGCTCGTCTCGCCATTCCATATCGAGTGAGTCACTCATGATACATCATGGGCGCAGCAAACGTGTTAGCCAATCAGCAAAACGCCAACTATCAATTAACCCACACTCCCTTGCGAAACGATGTGGACCGCTCTACCCTGGTAATTACGCAATGTACATTGGTCACCTTGATATGTTCACGGTGTTACGACTAAGTGGGAAGCAAGCTTTACAAACTAACGGGATTTCAATGGATTCTTTCCAGGTACTGTCTGGTTACAATGTGGAGAGGAGATCAAACAAGTCCGGTTGCCAAACGAAGCAGTCAAATTAGACCACATTAGACAAATTTTCAAAGATAATTTCCAATCCGAACTGAAGAACTATTCGCATGGTGCTGAGCGTGGTATTTTACTTATCAGAGATCCTTTCACTCGAGCTTTCAAAGAGTTAAATGATGTCAGGTACAAAGTATATTGCTCTCTTATTGTAAGGTGCTTGCCCACTGTTTTCTTGGAAATACGACTAGGTTAGCAGTGGTGCCATCAGTATATGGTCGGACCAATTTTTGTAAATCAAACTTTTACAAGCCAAAATTAAATCACGAAAACGTTTTCTTATGATGGGAAACAAACATAATTTCCTAAAAATAAGAATATATCACGTCAAAGCCATTTTTGTATAAAATTACCATAATTATCTAGCAAAGCAACTTCGGTCGCTAATGCCAGTCAATATACCCAAATTAGCTAAATGAATAAATATCTATAATTATACTGTACTGTAGGCTTTATACTACATTATTGCATACTCTAGTAACTTTACACTATATCCATCGTAGATGTAGTTGCATACTGTATAATATATAGTCTTGACTTGCAACTACTTGCACGGCGACCGGTCATGTTGGTGGTAGTTCAACAAAAGAATCTCATTATCTTTTATTGAATTTGACACCAACATGACCTCCAATTCACCGTTTTTCAATTCTCAAAGGGATTGGTTGCAAGTCAACAATCGAGGGCTTAAATACTGCGCTTTTAAATTCACTAATTAAGAATGATTATTAACTGTTTCCATTTAAAAGGCATGTCCTCCCAGGAAGTCATCTAAAACTGCTAGCTCCAAAGAAGAAGCCTTGCCGCAGTCCAGAACACGAGCAGCTTAGCAGGAGCTTCACTTTTGACGAACGAAGACGTTCACGCAGTTTCAATTCGGAAACATTTGATGCCCTCTCGACAACAAGTGTACCAACAGGAATATCACGCGCAAGAGCTGGTAGTTATTCTTTTCATGGTACTACGAAGACAGGGTATATTGTGACTCCCAAACGTCATATTGTCACCAGTACACCCAAGTTTAGTCACAACACCATGCATCCTGGTAAAGCTTTCCCAAACGATTTGTCGAGAACATCGCACATAAATAAGCCAGACAGGTGAGTGATATACTGCCGTGTTTCTACATGCTGCACTTCATCACGTTTAATCAGTAGAGGAACAGGAAACTATAGCTTTAACAATTGCCTTTTTATGTCTACTTGTTATTGATATAATCATTATTAATGCCGGAATTTGTATTTAATTACGTCTGCTGGTTTGAGTATTTGGTAATGATCAACCACAATAGGTTTGAGTCCACGAGCCGGATGATGTTGATTAATGCCTGATATCCAATTAGAATTGAATTCTATCCTGAGTTAAAGCTGAAAAGTGTGTGGGTGGGGGTGGGGGGAATATCCTTCTAGAAATGGAAACGATATAATAACAGCTTTACATCGATATAGGTAAATTAGTAATTTTTGATTTGCGAAAACAGCACAATTTAATGAATTTATATGTTTCTTGATGCTTTCTTCGTTGCTAAACCAGTCGACTTTTCACCTCAAGACTATTTGACTCTTAGTTATATCCTTATGTTGCGCAACAAAAATGTGCTGATTAATGCGAATTTAATTGGCTTCATAAAACAGTTAATAGTGACTCGTTCTTTAGAAAGGTGATTTCAATAGTGTTATGATCAACCAATCACAAAGCCAGTTCATATAGGATGGTAGCGACCCGTTGCCTGCGCTGTAATTTTTCTGTTATTTTTCATTATCATTAATTTCTTTCATGCCTTCATGGTATGAACGAAAAGTTTAAAAAATGACAGCGTATAGTGAAATGCAGGACAAGTTTTCAAATAGCATGACTCTGTGCCAGAAGTTGCCTCGGAATACTGCATGTAATGAGTACTAGTGATTTGTCCTAGTTTTTGCAGCTATATCTCTCACTTACGCCCATAACAAACATCAACTCTTTGACAAAATAATTTAAAAGTTATGATTGTCGAATATAATATGCCAAGTTTTAATTTTTTTAGTAGTAGAGAAAGAAGCACAGTTCCATCATCACCAGGCTATGGCAAACCTCAAACATTCAACCAAATGTCACCTCGGTACATGGAGGCAGCTTCACCTTCTCAAAAAGTAAAGCTGACAGGAATAGGCTCAAGGCTAAACAGCAGTGAAGTTAGAAGGTAACATATGAAGAGGAAATAAAAGTAATCGAAAAATAAAGATCATCTAAGTACAAAAGATTCATGCAGCGCATTTATATTAAAAGTATCAATTTACAGTACCTTATACCCATGCATTAAACACCCTAGATTGATGTAACCTTATACCCATGGGTTGTTGTTTTTGTGATAGTATCTTAATTGCATGGTTACTTGTGGTTGCGTGACTGCCCAGATTTTGGACAGGCTTTTTATTGAGAGCGGTGATAAAGGAGTATTAATTTGAAGGGAGTTAATCCAAATGTGTTGATTATAGTACAGAACTTACGAAAGCTGCCAAAACAACTGTATTCTTATCGCTCGATCAAGGTACACTACACGAATAACTACTGAAGGGGTACTCTTTCGCGAAGGAAAAGTACTATAGATAGTACGCGGTTGAGTTTGACTTAGGGTATTATCTACTATAGCTATATATGTTATCTTTCATTTTCACTTTCACTTTGACTTTCACTTTCACTTTCACTTTCACTTTCAAGGCCACCACGAAGTCCTGTGGAAGAACAACTTGCCAGTCTTACAGATCTTCTCGAGGAAGCAATGAGAACAGATAGTGTTAGTGACGTCACAAGTTATGACAATTCAATAGATTCACTATATGTTCCACCCAGGCCAGCATACTTGTATTATGAAAAAAATAAAATGAGAACTGCTAGTGATTCTGGAACTGAATCTTTAATTTCAGAAAATTGTGGCCATAGTTCTATAGGTATGTACTCCATTAAAAATCATCTTTCATTCCGAAAACGGCAGGAAGGTAAAAATCTTACTGAATACAAACGAGAAGTTGAGAGGTTTTGTCACACCCTCCCGGACATGAGAGGAACAGAGAGATTCAGATATCTACAGTACAAGACTATATACTTCATTAACATCTACTTACATTCAATTAAAAGCATCAAGATAAGTATTACTGTCGATGCAATGGAAGTGTTGATAAAATATTGCATCAATTCATTTCCTCAAGTTGATCAATTCATACGAATTCAAATTTCTTTTTACTTCCTGTGCGTTTCCTATTGGTCAATCGGTTCTGAAACGAAATCTAATTGGCTCATCTAAAAGTAACAGGAAGTTGATCAATTTTCTATCAAATGGATTGATCAACTTGAGGAAAGGAATTGGTGCAATATTTTATCAACACTTCCATTGCATCGACAGTAAACGAAAATATCTCCTTCAGGAAAGGGGTTTGTTTTTCCTGGAGATAATACCGTAGAGCGAAATTTGTTAGTTATTATACTATCAAACAATATTATCAAACGGAGAAGGGATGTTTTGTGCGATTTTTCTAGGAACCTATAACATACAGTGTAGATGTCTTATAATTAAATCGAATTATAGAACTAATAAAGAAAAAGCCGCCTCCTCCGCGCCGCAATTCCAGCAAGGAAACAGTGAAGACACTCTCATTTCAAAAACAACATGAAGAAAACAAACAAGAAAGCTCTAATGTTGAGTCTCCTAGAAGATCGATTGTCAGACCGAAGGTTTGGGTGGATACATCTCATCGTGCCCGAGATAATTCGATTAAGGTAACTGCTGCATATCTGAAGAAGGATGTCAAACAAATGAAGATACAGTTGGAGGAATTGCGCAATCAGCACGAGTGCAATTCTCATATTTTTTATTCCATGATCTCCCAGACTGGAAAACGGATCACTCGGGCTATTGAGGCAGTAATGCCAGGTATGTTGGGATATATGTTTTGTTAACTACAGAAAAAATTAACGTGATTTATAATTTATTGATCCGCTGCATAATGGTTGAATAATTATTTGATTATTTGATAAAGAATGGTTGGCAAAACCATGCACAGGTAAAACCGACAATAAATTTAAGTTAGCTTACCAAGTGAAGCTAACTTAAATTTATTGTTGGTTTTATTTGATAAGCGTCATTGACGCTAGTTAAAATCACAGGGGCGTAGGAAGCATCAAAAGATTGGATATTGAAAAGGGCACCTAAAAATTTTTCCCCGGAAATGTTGGCGACGGGGGGGGGGGACTTTCCGTCATACCATACCGAAATTGCACGTTTTGACCAAATGTTTTTCAAACATCGAAATTTCCAAACAAAAAGGGCACCTCTGATGTTAATTTAGTATTTACAGCGACATTAACTTGTACCAAAAGGGCACTTTTCATCACAAAAAAGGGCACTTTTGGTCCTTTGAAAAAAGTTGGGGGGGGGGGGCATGTGCCCCAGTTCTTACCCTTCTGAAAATCTCTGCAATTTGAGTGGTGCATGCATGCATGAGAGGCGTACAATTATTTTATTAATTGTACATCAGTACAGTACTGTTCAGCCGAATCAGCGGTACAATTACTAAATCAGCCGGAGTAGGGCTTGGAAACAAAGTTGAGTGCATGCGTTTTACTGAAAAGGCATGTGTGAGTAACGGCGAACACTACAGTGCGTTTTAAAACTAGGCATGTGTGAATAAATTCGTAATTTTGTCATGCGAATAATAAACAAGTATTTCATGTGTTGTTGCTCGTACTGTCGTGATGTTTGAAAATTATGCCAAATTGTGATCACTCGTCAAAATTATAGTGTCACATCACATTGCATATACTCATTGTAATTCATAATTAATTTATTTTATTATTAAAGATGCACAGACAAACACAAACATACATAGACAAAAAATGCGAGATGAAGAAAGTGCTTATCAGCGCCGCAGTGATAATGCCGAGAAAACTATGAGGTTAGTTAGCACGTCTCAACATAGTCTATCAAGATATCATCGTCTGGAATCCCGGCAAACTTCAAAGCCAGAAAAAAGAAGGCCTTTGTTTGATGAGTTGAACTGTACCTCACTATGCAGTATGCACAAATCCTTTGTTTCAACTTTTATTAAATATTATTCATCGAAGTTACACGTTCATCTTAACTATCCCATTCCTATTGGATGGTTACTTCATTATACGAAAATACAATGAGCTCATGCAATCACCATGCATGACCGTGCACAAATTAACATAAACGCCGACAAAAACATCAAAAAATGACTTGTGTTTAGTTTCCAGAGAATTGGAAATGAGTATGATTTTCAATAGTCTACATAGGAAACCTCAATCTATAGCTTCCCTTTCCACAAGAAAACATTTGACAACGCTGATTGATAAATCTATAGCTGAAAATATTATTTATTGCAGTATTTTATTTGCATGAAAACAAAGGGGCAAGTTTGTGCGTAAGTATAATTGTATAAGGGACTTAATTTATTAATGAGAGTAAGCATATAACCGGCTCTATGTACCTCTATGTACGAATAGTGCACTACTGCCTAGAACAAACGAAAATGCAGAATAACTAGAATAGGCTAGGCCGTTACTTCAACCAGGCAAACTACACTAAATATTTCTATAGACTTTGGTCTGCAACCAGAAATTGAGGAATTGCAAACGACCTATCGTATTCTTCGATTTAGCGATTTACAGCATCGCGTAATATAATTTACTGTTTACTGTAGAAGCCATATTTCAACGGGCTATGAATCGATGACATTCAAATTTATGAGGGAGTAGAATAATCATTAGTAAAGATATGAAAAATATCTCACTGTATATTTTTCAGTATCTCACTCTCCACTATATAATAAATATCTATAATTCAGTGTTCGTAGTTGAAGCCATATTTAATTACGAAGGAAACGTGTCCGTGATTTCTGGCCATGAACCAGGGACGTCAGAGCGCTCTAGAAGTGGGGAGGGGTCCGGGAGCATACCCCCCGGAAAAATTTTAAAACTAGAGTCTCTGAAATGGCATTTGCTGGCTTCCTGCACTTTGGAAGGAGATTTACAGAGTTCTAAAGGTAACAAAATGTTATAAAATATCTCAAATTATTTTGTGGCTACATGCATGCGTAACTGAAATAATATCAATTAACATTGTGGTTTATTATTGATCATTGTTAAAAAGTGGGGGGCCCAAAGACATTTAGCCCCTCCCCCCCTCCCAACTAAGAAAGTGGGTTGGACTGCCGGGCCATGATCTGGAGATGATAAACTCGTCCCCAAAAAGTAAGGTATTCTGAAGTTCATATTCCAATTTATAGACGTCTGGAGAATGAAATTGAGATGTTACGAGATGCTGCAGTCAATTACAAATCAAGGGCAAAGCAAAGTGAACTCAACGATATCCATAGATCCATTGAAAACCTTAACCGATCAGTTACTTCTTTGAAATGTAAGACAATTAACACAGAATCGAATGTCCAATATCTATCTTCATTCTTCAGATATTTCTGTTTATGCTACTGAACTGAATAATGCAGGATAACCTTTTTAAAAATGGAAAAATCAGTTCCTTTCTGGAGACCTCCTAAATAACAGTTTTGAACCTTCTTTTAATTAATTAAACTGGTCAGATTGGAGGTTGCGTGGGATCCGGGGCAAAACATTCCCAGGAGGCCCTATAAAGTCATGACTGTAAAACAGGAAAAGCGGTGTTTCACAATATATATTAATTATTTCTATATGTAGACTTTATTGCATATTATGCGCCACTAGCGCAGCTAGGATATATATTTTCAGTAAAAGGAGTCTTGTATCATGAAATTTTAAGCGCTGTCGTTGCGTTGGCCGGGCTCCTTTTGAGCTGGAGACCCGGGACGAAGTGCCCCTCTGCCTCTATCCCCCCTCTTGGCGGGCCTGGCTGTTAATGTCTTTTAAAGTTTCGTGCATGATAAAATCTTTCTTTACATATATGAGCTTAAAAAACCGAAAGAGCATCCCCTTGCCGAAACAAACTTAAAATGTGACGAACCATTTCTATGATTCGTCATCTTCATATTAACCAAAAACTCGCCCAGTAAATATATTATACTATTATTGATAAAATGATGATCAATCTTGAATATTTTAATTCATATATTAGCTGATTTCGAAACACTCAGTAATGATGCCAGAGGGATAATGGCTGAGGAAAAACACTCCTTATTTGAAGAAGAAAGGTAAATATCAAAGGCCAATCTGGACAGTACCTTGCAAAGTCCGATGATAACATTTAGGTACAATTCAATGTTGCGTCGTATACGACTACAATAAAACAAAATTTGTGCACATGACATCATATGATTTCACATGTAAAATAATATAAAATATTTCCATAAGGTAATAATTTAATAAGTTTTCAACATCGGAAGAATGAAATCGTCTAGCGTTACACAGAGGAAAATGACGAAGTATAGCGTACATTATAGGACCCATTGCGGGTAATCATGCACAGTAGAGTAAATCGTTGTTCAACACGAAATCCTATATTTCTTCTCATTTAAAAAAAATAAAATAGCAAACATAAATTTTCTCCATTGTTTCTTAAAGATTTTTCAAGGAGGAGCCTGTGCGTTTAGATCAATTTGTGGATCGATGTCGTCATGCTGTTGGGAACCTTCATTCATTACAAAAGTAAGAATACACCACTATGTATACGGCCTATTTTTGGTAAGCCTGAGAATAGTTTAAGAGTGGCATGCGAGAATTTTGGAGCATCTCACTCGATACAATTAATTGTTGAAGAGATTTGTAGATGGAAATTTCGAGTGGAATTTTTATACATAAATTTGACCAAACCAGGAGCAGTTGCGAACCTTGTCGAGCTTAGACTTGCTCCAAGTCTCTCTTTCATTGTCATATCGATCCACTATAGTGTACATTACATGACGTAGCACGGAGAGGCGGAGCGAGAAAGAGAGACTTTCAACTTCGGAAAATCTCGGTTCAAAACTGAACCGAAAATGCAAGACTTGCTTTAATTCTTTCCTTCAATTTCATTCTGTATTATTTACTATAATGGAACTCGTGTTATTTACACTGTGTTATGTCAATACATATAAACACTGATAGAAAACAATTAAAGCAAGTCTTGCATTTTCGGTTCAGTTTTGAACCGAGATTTTCCGAAGTTGACAAGTCTCTCTTTCTCGCTCCGCCCATCCGTACTACGTCATGTAATGTACACTATAGTGGATCGGTACTATATGACAATGAAAGAGAGACCTGGAGCAAGTCTATGTAGAGCTCTACTTGAATGTCATGAGATATATCACATCGTATCAATCATATCGTATTATAGAATTGGCAATAGCACTCTTTGGAATTTTTTTCACACCATATATATGTTCCATTTTTTCCAGGCTGGCGTCGGCGCAACCGGACGTGAACGAGCTATCCAGAATTAGAAATACTAGTTCTTCAGTGACTGTGAGTATATGACGTTTATTCTATAATGCATGTTTTGCATGATATTTGCCACAACCAACACAAGAAAAAGTTAGAGAACGATACTTTTTTATAGCCTCATCCGCAGGCATATTTTTTTCAATCATGCATCCTGCATGACCTTAGGGTTAGGATGATTGGAAATGCAAAAATATAGAGGTGCAGATATACCAGCAAAATCCAGATATCTATATAGAAAGAAATGCCTGTGGAGGATGCTAGCATTTTCTCTACTTTCCATGCAATTTCCAAATCATGTCCATTCATCTAGTACTATACCTAAAATTGGTTTGTTCCATGCACGGCATAAACTGCTATATGATTTCACTATAATTATATTAATAATAATAATAATTTCACTAACTGTATCTTTACCAAGTGTGTATGTTCGTACCATCTATAATATTAAATAAATATGTTTCTAATTTTCAAAATCAAATATTCAAATAAATAAATTTTGTATTTTCCGATCTTGTGTTAATTATTAGACTTTGAAAATTCCAATGAAAGAAACAGATACCATAAAGCGAAAAGAGAGCTACAGACGGGGTACTGTTGTAACGCAGGTAATAGAATATTCTGATTTCTTTCTCAATAAGGTATTAAAAGCTTTACACAATCGGAAAAGAAGAGAGAAACTTCATTAAATCACCATAAACCCAGTCTTAAGCAAAAAACAAGTTATAATAGGATATATAAAATCATGCTAGTTTTCGTACGTAAAAATGTTTATCATATTAAACTTTTGAAGATGATATATTGTTGAATTTGCTTAACTGGAAATGCATGATCACACTATTGCATGCTCAGAAAGCTTTGCACTCGCAATTTCTTAACTTGCTGTTGTCTTTCATACATGTGCAGATATCTCACAAAACGAAAGTCGAATATGGAGGAACAACTACATCCGCTAACTACAACCAAAACACTGTCAGCCAGGTTTGTATATATTGCATAATAATGTTATTTTTATCGCCTCAGATTCTGCGAAAGAATGTAAACCTCGTATTTCTCTCAGTGCTCATGCACGAGAGAAGTTTCTCGGTCCTCTGACTAGTTTTTCCTCCCTCATGATGATATGTAAGCGGGACTATTTAAGCCCAGATCAAACGAGGAGGAGATTGTATATGATAATTGCCAGTCACACGACCTTGGCTATAGCTGCTCTCAATGCATTCCCAAACTTTTATTTTGTTGATCTAGAGCTTGAAATGTCCCCATGCAGTAAATACGAGATTGCCAAGTCTCAACAGCTCTCATTTGACCTAATCTTCCCTTATATCTCCATCTCTGTCAGTATATGCTCAATATGCGCTTGCATATTGATGAGGGAAAATTAGAAGGCTGAATAAAGAAATTGTTTCGCAAAAGGTCATGTGGAGCTCATGCCAACACGAGCCGCCAAATACACCCTTCCAGAAAGTACTTAGCCTTGGCTACAGACCTCGTTTTCAGGATTGATATATCGGCTTTAGAGCCCTGCATGTAGCTTATTACTTATGACTTAATTATATAAAGGCATTTTATATTATCTAATATAACTGTATGATTTTGTAAATGTGTCACCTATAACCAGATAAATGACTCGAAAGCCAACATCTCAATACCGAAAATGGGGCTCTATATCCAATATCCAAGGCTGAGTACGTTTCCAGAAGGGTGTATTTAGCCTCACTGATTTTGCGCGTGTCTTGAAATGCGAAGAAAACTATGAAACTCTTTATTGTTGTTCGTATGCATAACATGATAATATGAAACTTATTTGCTTTCAGGGAAACGTAGCTAAAACGAAAGTTCGTTTCAACGATTCACCAAATAGCATAACTTATCATCAATGAACCTCACAATGCCGCACATCTTACAATGTTTACATCTGGAACGATATATTGTGAATGGTTCAGAAAGCCCGACTTTTATAACACGCTTCAGTTCAAACCAAGCAGTTGACCTGAAACAACGTTTGCAGAAACTCAAACTATAACGTTACATTTCATAGCAGAAGTACCATTGTCGATTGTACAAAACTCTTAACTTAAATCTATCATTCTAAACGTTTTAGTCACTTTTTCTATATACGTAGGATCCTCAGGATGACTCTAACTTATAGTGACTCCAAATTGGTGACATTCTTACGGCCACCAATAATACAGATGGTTAATTTTATCCGTGTTAATGGTAGAGCGGTTCAGATTTGACTATACCATTACTGGCTACCTCTCACTGCAATCTTGGACAAAAAGATTTTTAAGAATTACCACCCATACTCTATAGTTTCCTCTTAATGTGCAGTTTTTCGACACCACCCCCACCCCCCACCCCAACCCCTCCCGCCCAGTTCAATGTTGGATATCAAGATATCAAACAGAGAAATGAGCCCGTCTGACATCAACATTGATCAGGGGGGTGGGGGGGCTCATTTGCATTTTAAAATTTAATTTTTTATCAGTTAATATCAATTACAGACGAAAAACAAAAAATTCTCAACAATATTTTCCAAGATTGTGCCTTACTACCCATTTGATTGGTAAAGCCCATATTCCACTGGGCGATTTGTTCGCGCGAAGCGAAAAACAAGTCTCAATGTGATTGGTCAGCGAAAAAATTCGCCGCGAAAAAGATGGATCGGTTCCTACTTCACCTAGTGGAAAATGGGCTTTAATCATGTAGATTAACACATCTGATTGGTTAATGGTAGCAGTACAGTCGTAAAAATCTCACACCTTGTGAACAAGATATGTTCGCACTGCTTGTTCCCATTTGTTGACAAGTCTGGGACTTATCATCTCATAACGAGGCTGGTGACAAGTTTATTATTGCTCAACTAGTCTGATTTCGTCTGCACGTAACAAGTTGTTATAACAAGTTTATGACTGCCTATTAGTTTTGTTGGAACAACTTGTAGCAAGTCTGTTATACCGTACCCGCATAAACCTTATAACAAGGTGACAACAACTTGTTTCCAGACTTAACTGGGAACGAGTAGTGCGAACACATCCTGGATCGGCTTGACAACAACCTTCTTACAACTTGTTTGTTATCTGTAATAGGTTGCACATCTTTACGTGTGTAGCGGAAGTCAAACTGAACCTTGCTATTATAAAAACGGCTTTGGTGCCCAGGTTATCTTCTCTAATTGGCAGAATGCTCAGTATATGCTCCCCTAAGTAGCTGCGAAGCAATCTCGTTCCCAGAGTATGCCTGTTTGCGGGTTATGTAGTGGCATGCCACTACTGCATAACCTGCGAACAGGCATACTCTGGGAACGAGATTGGCTGTGAAGCAATCCGTTCACAACACAAGGGATTATGGAATGAGGCAATAAAATCCAAGAATAACTATACGTGTCCATCCAGCCATCGCATCTCGACAGGAAAAATCGGAACCCATGTATTGAAGAAATGAACTAAGGGTATATGTGTTCTGGTTTTTCAGACTCTTGCTGTTCTAAAATAATACTTAATTAATTTCTAAAATGAGTGCCGATTTTGCGACAAACGCATGCATGTATTTGTAAAGTAGTTGTATATCAAAGAAAGACATTTTCAGTAATAATTTTATTTAATTTTTAACTTATACACAAGAACGCTCTACAGCTCTTCGTTTTAACTTACGACAAATAAATATCTCGTATTTAAGGACTATTTATTATATACAAAGAATGAAATTAAAATATCTCGTTTTTTCAGTCTTATGTTTATACTTTATTTTTATGTTTAAAGTTAAACTGATAATTAAAAATACTTTGTGAAAATGAATATTCTATACAGTTGATCTCTGATGATGTACAGTACAATATTACATACAGTAAAGTTCCCTGACAAACAGGCAAGAGCTACAGTAGGGGAATTTTTTGTTAATCACTAGGACGTAGCTACGGCTTTTCGAATTTTAGAAGTGAAAATGAAAACATACTGAATTTATCTAGATTTCTTTAATTATAATTCTGGAAGGGACACAACGCTGTTTGAACAGCATTTGCGTGTTATATCGTAAAGAGCCCCTTCCCTCGCCACTTCCCCTCCCAACCAATCAATTATGATTCAATATGATGTGTATCGAGGCTCGAATGACATTGCTGTGAAATAACATTGTTTGGTGGGGCGGGGGGGAAGGGCTGGGGGGGGGGTAGAGTGAAACAAAATAATTGCAGAAAGTGGGAGTGAGATTTTGAAAACAACCATGCATGTCCCAATTAATTATTCTAAGATTGCAGATTTTCACTAAAAGGTATTATTCAGCTGTCCAGCCCGCAATCGCCAGTGAATACTGTGCTACAGTCGTAACGAAAGGAATGCGTTCAAGTGGAATGAAGAACTTTTTATGTTTTTGTTTTTGGTGTACAACTTCTCCTATCGCACGTGCAGATTACGAATTCGATTGAGTTGTTCATGTACTGCTTTTGCAATGTCTGACATTTGGATTCAGATACATCATTCCAACATCCTCTCTCCACAAGCGTTAGAATGGTTCCGTATTTAGTCCATGTACTAACACATCCAAATGACGTACATGACTCTGTCTTCTTACCACCGATCTCTCCCATTTTGAAGTAATCACATTCTGAAAGAAAAAAGACATTACTGAGTTTGTCATATAATTTTAGTACAATTATAATGGTGTCATTCAACAAAAATCTAGAGACCGTGACGGATATATATATTAGTGTGACCACAACAAATGTGTGGGTTACTGTGATGTCAGAGGACGTTAGTTACATTTTCAGGATATTGTTCTTTATGTGTCTGGATAAAGAAATTAGTCGTCACTGTCGCCGCCTCCACGGGAAACTCCGTAGCCTACAAATCAGGTGGCTCACTACCTTTTTAATCATACAGGGAAATTGGTGTTTAACAAGGCCGGCGAGAGCCAACCACGGGCCCCGGGACAAAATGACGATTGGTGAACACACCCACCCCCTGTCTCTCTCGACTTTCCCGCTGGCTATTTTTAATCGCAATCAACGAGAGAATTGCCAGCGAGATACTTGCAAGAAATCGCCGCATAACTGATAAAAAGTTAAAAACGCAATGTGAACGATGTGCTAACTGTTTTTGCTGAGAAAACGATCGAAAAATCGTTACGTTCGGTACGTTTTACGATCGATGACGACGATCAGCGGATATAGTGTGCAAGTAGGCGTATTTCATTTAGGACAAACATAAAGCGATGATAAACAATACGATCATTTTACCGAGATTTCCGGGCCCCTCTGCAGAGCACTCCGGGCCCCGGGTATTTTGCCCCCTCCCCCCTCCTCTCGCTGGCCTTGATGTTTAATCTCGCACCTCTCTTCAGTATGGCCACCTCAAGTCCACCTATTGTTTTCAGATGTTCTAGAACTCGTTAAAACAGGCTTGGAAAGACACGCGTCCCAATGTCCTATTGAGCTGAATATTCTGGCCGTTTCAGAATGACTAATTCAATTCAAAAAGATACTCTATCCAATCGTAGTACTGATAAACCGACATACCTGGAGATTTCGTTTTGATTGTGATTGCCTTAGATCTCTCAGATGCCACACGACCTCGATACGATGTTACTTCAATGACATAGGTAGTATTAACTAATAAGTAACTAAATGTGAAAGAACGTGTATCAGACGCCAGTATTTGAATCTTCTGTCTGTTTTCTCCAGGTGTGTACATTGTGGCAACATAGCCATCAATTTTAGCACGACGATCAACAGAGTCTGTGATATTCACTGTAACTATACGTTTCACCAAACTAGCCAGTTTTGTCGATGGAACTAAGATAAACGAAAAGTGTATAGTAAAGTATTAGGACAATCAAGTTGTTGTAACAATTGGGAGTTTACGCTTTACGTTCAAACGTCCGACAAATGGCAAACGCCAGAGGAAGAAAAAAATTACGCTACAAGGTAATAAATGGGAAAAAAGTCAACTTGCTATTTTAAGACTGTAATGTATGATGATCCTTTTGAGATAAGAAAGAGACGATGAAGCGAAGAGGTTAAGCAAAAATTCTGCCAATAAAATTCGACTATGCTTGGCATGCCGTTTGCTGTTCCCGCAAACGTGAAGCTTATATAAACTCCCTCATATTCCAACGTTTACATGACCATTTCCTGGAACTCTCGACAAGACCACTTCAGATAAGATGGACTATGTTGCAATCTTCTTTCATGTTTGTACTTGTGTTTTGTTGTGTTGTATTTATTCTGCAACAGGTCACTAACATTAGTGTTTCTGAGCCACTTTTTATGTTTGTATTTTCCTTGTTTATTTTCGTGTAAACGGCCGAAGTTAATAAATAAATAATTTTATAAGCGTATGATTCCGTCCTGGGCAACTCGTATTATTGGTCAAAAAAATTATTGCAAACTGGAGCAGTCATGCAAGAATAACAGCCTATTTGGAATGACCATAGAAGGAAGTACTGACAGTAACAAAATTACTGTGATATTAATCGCTCAAAGTCCCCTAAACCTTAATTGTGCTATATGAAACATCAAACAACACTAACCTGACAAGTAAGGCTTAGGAGGCAAGCCGTTATTGTTACATAGATCAGTTGTGCAACATTGCAATGTCTTAAACATTTTACTACAATAAAATTGTTCCAGACCAAGGGATTGCATACAACCATACGACGTATTCCCTCCAATGGTCTTGGTAAAACAAGAATGTATTGTATAGCAAGTGTCCATTACATCACTCTCGCAGTTCGCTCCCGTACATCTGCAGTGAAGAGGGGTGACTAAAAAGACAAAAAGAAACACACTACGTCATTATGTTTGATTTTAAAGAAGCGAAAGCAGAAATCTTTTCACAATAGACATGCATAATAACGTCGCAAGACTTGATGCCCGCGAGGGGTGCTGATCTTAATAGACATCACCCGGGAAAATTAAACAATTCAAAATGGCTACTATCGAAATTTTCCCTAGCGATGACTACTAAGACCAGCATTCCTCGCGGGCATCAAGCCTTGTGACGTCATTATTCATAAGGTCTATTGATTAGTTTCTGCATCTAATAACATCAAGAAGGGGTTTGACATCTATTTTCGCCAAGTAATGATCTTTTTGACGATCAGGGGCTGGTTGTATAAAACTCATAATCACTTTTTTAATTACTATTTTGTAGTTAAATAGTGATTAACTCTCAAATAGGCGCTCCTTATTGGATGACATTTCCACTTAACTATGATTAACTTTAATCACTTTTTATACAACCGGCCCCAGAACACTAAACACTGTTTCGTTCTGGTTCTTGCATGGACATTCCTAGTCTTGTATATCGTACTCCGTTGCCTTTGAAAATGCCGCAATGAGACTATGCTTTTAAGGGCGCGGCCTCTTTTTTACTCTATTGTTCTGCTCAGCTGGTGGTATTACAGAGAATTTTTCTAAATGATGAAGTTGTTATCGAAAAACATTTTCCACGAAGTCTAATATTCAATATTTGTAAATCCTTTCAGTAATTTGAGTAAATTTTCTATCAAGCCGTAAAGTCACCCGTGCCCCGTTTTGTGCTATTCACAATAATAGTAAATTATACTGGTGGAGGAGTAATTATCAAAGGTAGTCGTAATATGTAGAACTTTTGCTTTCTCCCTTAATAAATGAATAATCTCCCTCCAGCAAACTTCCCCTACAACAACCACACAAACACACACACCCTTCGCCTGGAATGTGCTGAAAGGCTATAGTACGCGGTGATACTAAATATCGTTCTCAGATTGAATTTGAAATGGATTTTGACTACTGTAGACAGAGAGTTGCCTTGTGTGAAGACAACAAGATTAAACTTGAAGTCAATTTTATTACTTTATTCAATCGAGTCAGGTCATAGAGGTTCCTGTCCTCTAAAATAACCTTGATCAATAGAAACCTTGAAATATTTTTCATAAAAATAAAAGAAGCCCTAGAAATGTCAGCTTACACCTTCAGGAAAATGTCAGCACAGGAATGTGTCATGCACTCAGCTGTCACAATGCTAGCTTTTTTGTAGATTCAGTATCAATCATGAGCAATCTTTTTCCGGATGCCTTGCCGTTTTTATCATATGTCATTTATGAAACCCACTAATAAACGTTATCTTCAATATCGGTATTTGCTGTGTGATTATCAAATTATAGAAAACGAATTCTTATCGGAAATCATTTATCTTTTTTGGCATCGCATATAATTGTTGACTTCGGGTCCAGATTTCCTGTGATAAGTACTTCCTCCCATTCTGATAACAAATTTGACATCAATTATAGTCGACATCGTGGTTACAACTGCGTAAAAACTCAAAAGATTGTTGTGATATTTATCGATTGTTTTTGACATTGTACCGCCTGGTTTTCCGAAAGGAAATTGATCAGTGTTTCAATTATATGTCCTTCAAATAATCACTCGACTCGTACATTTCAAACCTAGTAAAACATTAGTAGAACGTACAGTTCGTTCATTAAAAATATTTTCGTTTTTAATAACACTTTCGTTTTGAGGTATGGGTCTTCCTCAGTAGATTAGTAAGAGACTTTTACCTCGATCAGGTGTAATCAAGGCCCTCGTAAACTGCAGCCATCAATCTTTTTTAGGTCGAAGGCACCCCTGTAACGTATACCTGTAACTATGAACATTTTTTATATACACCTTCTTAGACTTAGTATTCTTAACTTTGATACTATTCTTAGCTTTAATATAGATCCTTCCGATACTCGTACGGTAAGTTCTTGAAAAAACATGGTTTCGTATTTGTTCAGCTGTGCAGAGTACAACGAAAATTTCGTCTTGAAACGACTTAAGGTTTGAATCCCGCAAGAGACAACGAAATTTTAAAATATTTCATGCACTTAATTTGGATATATAGGACTTGCTACCAATCCTTGGGCACACCGGAGCAGTGCAGAGGCCTAGCAAATTTTTCGTTGTATTCTGCAGTATCAGAATAATATGAAACTCATTTTTGACTCACGGCAACATCTGTGAGTCTTTGTGCTTACTTGAGTGTGGTGTGGGGTAGTTAAGCAATGAGAAATGACAGCCTACTTTGCGCGCACTGTTTGCCTGCGAATCGGGCCTTACAGAACAGGAAATCGGGCTGGAGCACGCGTTCGTTCTTTTGATTTGGCAAAAGAAGCACAACAAATGGCAAAATTCCCACTGTGCCCGTTTGCAAAAACAACCAAACTGCTCTAATTCTTGCTGTCACTTTCGGCCTTAAGGGACTTTGATTCATATATCTGAGGGGTGAGGACGGTTCTGAAGTTTGTTAATCTTTATTGAGATTACACAAGGATCACGTGAGTCTGTGCCTCATTAATTATTCACTGTTTCACAAATTATTACGGAAATGAAATACGGCTGTAAAACAATGATTTTAAAGAAGGATTTCCTGGAATTATTTAGCGTATTGTCTAGCTGATTTCAAAATGCATAAGTCGTACCAAATGTTATACTGGTTTCTAGTAAAAATTATAGCGTGACTGATTAATCATTTTCAGGATTTTTATCCGATGTGCCAGCAGGACATTTGTAAAATAGTAAAGTGCGTTCAAGTGTTTCTAATAAAAACAACAGATTAAAATTATAAAATTAAGGGCTTCTCGCAACTATGACGTCGTTATAAAGGTTTTAATTTTTTTTAATCAGGTGAATCATTTAAACAGACTGTATTTGCACATATAGTTGGAAAACAGGGAAGTTGTGTAAAGACTAAAGTGTAGTCGTGTAGATAGAAAAGTGACAACGTGTTTTCTATACTGATTTGCTGACTCACGAATGAACAAAAAAAAAACAAGCAATTCAAATACGATCATCGATATAAATTATATACATCACAATTTACAGCAGAATTGAACTGAATTAGAAATTTGTAGCTTTTCATGTTAAGAGAAGAAATAAGTGATAGTTTGTTCTATGTTCATAGCGAAAGTTGCTACTGGGGCACAGAATAACTGGGGCCTACTGAGTCGCACCGTAACCGCTTGTAACTTGTCTCGCACTATAAGCAGCAAAACGAGTGAGAACTCGTGAGGGATAAAACGAATGGGCGAGCTTGACCACACTTTAAGAAATTTGAGCTCAACCTCGCAGCTAAGTAATTAGGGACCTTAGGGCGCTTTCCATTTAATGGCCTGACCGGTCAGACCCGAATTCTTTTCTCTGTATCAATGGAAAGATCTGGTCTATGTTTCTCAAATATCTAGCGAAAATGGACCTCATTCTAATGTTATCTAAATTTTCCGGTCAGATAGGTCCGAAGCCCAATTGTTTGGTGTTCAATTCAACAATTTGACCTCTCTGACCAGTCTGGCCATGTTAATGGAAAGCGTCCTTAGCTAGCAAGACGGCGACGGCTATAAATACAATGGAATTTATGATAGCGTTAATTAGAAATTAATAATTAAAAGTCCCTTGGGCTTGGGAGTTTTAGATGTCGTCCTCACTCTGTTTACAACAGCAAACTAATGATATTGATTCTTAGGCTACGTCTTGTATACAACGCGCGAGAAGTGGTACTCGGCAAACTGGCTTAGTAGAAGTCTTCTTAAATATAAACCTCCGTCTTAACCTTCTAAAACTGTATTAAATTCGTACAGCGAATAATATTACACGACAAGTTTTCCATAAAATTATTTATTTCAAGGACTTTGTTTTGGTCATCGTCGTCGCGTTGCCGTCCTACAATCTACATGCTAAAGGTCCCTAATGATACCAGGCGGTCCAGGCGACTTGTAGCAAGTCTAAAGTTGCAAGCATGCTTTCTTTAACTTGTAACCAAGTATATAATCCCCGGCCAAATCTCCTGCCAAACTCTTAAAATATTCAGACTGGATTTTCACACTCAGTGCTGAGAAGTGGGTGGACATGCACGTCCCAACAGTCATCACAAGTTGTGAGACTTCCCTGTTAGCACATATTAATCGGATGCCAAAACCGAAAAAGGCAGCATTTTCACCCTTAAATTTGAAAATGATGAAATTCGCTCCGAAGAAGCTACAGTCATTGCAAAAATTCCGTGGACACTTAGGTGTAAACTAAAGTTTTACTGTTCACATACACATGTTGCTGTCTTAGTCTCCCGCAACGGCGCAACTCCGTCCTACAATGTTGATTTTGACATGCATTTCACAGATCTTTCACCTAATCAATTTATAAGCTTTCAACATTGAACGGGGGGAAGTTATATTGCTGTTTTGCACGTATTTATTAGGCAAGGCAGGTATACAAAAATTTCTCAATAATTTAGTCCACAATAATTTTTGCCTGCAGGATTGTAGCATGACCCCAAAATATCAATCATGTATGCATGTAATTAAAAGTATATTTTTAGATAATGCAATTTTGAGTGGCCTACGTCGGAAAAACTGAAAAATTGCTTGACAGCGGTAGGAAATAAGCTCACGACCTTGGATTTGGTTTCGATCGCGGGTTCGATTTCAGCTTCCCCGGTGCGGAGGCAGTCTGAGAAGCGTCAATTACAATGATTTACCCGAACTCTAATCCCAATTCGCATCAGTGTTATTGCGCTAGAAAGTAAATGCATAACTAAAGATGAAAATACTCAAGGCCATGTTTGATAAATATACCGCCGAATACTTTATGTTGCAAAATAGAAAATGTCATCAGTAAAAAGCAATGAGGACTGACGAGTGTTTTGCAAGAATTTATTCGCTGAACCTGATCAACAGTGTGGTTTGCAGGGCGTTTTCATGTCATCGTTAAAATGACTTTCGAGGAAAAATGGCTGTCGCGAGGAACCTAGGGCTAAGTTACCCGCAAATTATTACATAACTTTGAGGGATGTTGATGCCTATATATAACACTATTTACCGTACGCATTACCGTGTACATCATCTAGGAAATCAGTTGTTAATCTCACAGTTAATAATGCATCAATTTAAGACAAATCCAATCATCCGGTTGTGTTTTCTTTTACATTTTCTAACGGAAATTAGCCTAAAGAACTCGAAGAACAATCTAATTATACAAACTGTACAGATTTTATACAATCACGCCATAAATAAAAAAAAAACGCATTGACTAATTGCTAACTGATGTTTTTAGCATCACTATGTGTGTGGCACCTTGAAACTTGTATAGAAAGAGTTTTCAAGTAGCTGTTATTTACAACATGGGCTGTCGTTCCGAAGCAGAGTTTGTATATCACCAACGCAACACGGCTTGTAAATGGCTTGTGAAACGTAATATAATATAATATTTAGTATATTATTTCTTCAACACACTGTCACTGTGGATATTGCTGTGTATGAAATATACTGTAGAAGTAATATAAATATTATATATGTTCTCAGTAAATTGTTCACAATTTTATAAAACATGAAGTAGTTTGTAATTGTTTATTTAACCGAATTTCGTATTTTCCGAAGATGCGGTTTATACGTGCCAATCTTTATGGTGCCAAATGCGTCAAGCGCGTTGCCCATATCAATTATAGTTAAAAAGAAGTCTTCCTTCCCACTCCCCGACCCCGTGTACAAAACAATTATTTTATTTTAAGTATAAATCAACATGAATATATATGAGAGGCTCAGTTCACCCTCCCTCTTGTTAAGACAAGATGATCAGACTATCACAGTTTCCCTAGCTGACATTATAATTTATAATCCCCGTATCTCCAAGGCACCGTACTTCACTCTTCAGGAAAAAGCATTTTTAACGCATAAGTTTTGTCCGTACTCATTATGTTTTAATTATATTGTCTTACATGCATGGGGAAGTGTTTTAAGATGAATGTCAACAAATATAGATAATAAGTTGTTTTTCAGTCTTGGGACATAAAGTTATCTTGTGTGAATCAAAACATCTGCGAATTCGGCAGCTGAAGCCGCCTTGAGACTGCATGCAGCTGAACTTTATACATCTCCCTGCTGCTTTAATTTATCATTTTGATGAAACCTTGGCCTTCAAGACGCTTTGAAATTTTAAACATTCCTAACTAATATTTTTCTATATCTTATAAAGGTTTCTATAGATTAAGCCTTACAAATGCTGTTGTTATATGAGCTTATATAGCTAATTCAAGTAACTGATGAAAAATCTTAAAAACTATCTGAAGGTGATCACTTGGATAATTAAACAAAACGATCAGCTTTTTTTTGTCAATTAAGGGTTGAAAGTTAATTCTTATACCACATGTGACATAAATTGGAACTTACTGGATAATTGCTATATCAGTCTATATTCTGCAGTCGGAGCCGAGGGGTGTATATCTATCACTTATATAACTCTGTAAAAGCGTATACGAAGATTTTGGGATTCCAAAATCCCTGCAAAAATATATATATAATAGGGATTTTTGCGAGATTTTCAACGGATTTTAAAGGAGGGATTTTGCCCGCAATTTTGATAGTTTTAGCTATTTTGTAGGATTAGTGATTTTGTGAGAAATTTGGGGTTGGGGATTTCAAAATTTGGGATTTCAAAATTTTTGCGGCGATATTTTGAATTCAGAATTTTTCGAAGGTGTTCGAGTCATCAAGTCATCGAGCAGCTTCAAAAACGACCCAATGCATTATTAATTGTTCTTTAAATAACTTGAATTGGAAGAGTTTTTTTTAGATAAATATGCTATACAATAATTAGTGATGCGTTTGGTTAGTTAAATTCGAATGAAATTAGCAAATAATTGTGCATGTATGAACTGTTTATGTCGTGGCTTACACGTGTTTTTTTTATTCATCCACAATTTTATTTATACATTCCACAAATTCCTCAAATCAGATGCCCACTGGAAACCTCGACAGATTAAAGACCAGTCCAGTTATTAATCTGTTTTTCTTGTCTAATGGGTCCTATTATCAGCGAAATATAGAGCATATAAACAATAACCGATATGACTGTGTTTTTTTTACATTAATCATTATACTGTTGTTTACTTATCATTTAATGAATAAATATAGGTGACATAAAGCATGCATAAAAATGATAATGGTGACCTTACATTCAACCTTAACGAAAGTATTTCAACCTTAACCATGCATAAGAGATTTCAAATTGAAAATATCAATGCATGCATGCATGCATATATTATAGGCATGGCCGCACGGATTGTTGTCAGGTGGACTGTTACTAAGGCCCGTTTACATTTGCAATATTTAATGCGATTTCCAGTGCGATTTCTTCTTCTTTGTTTATTGTTTATTGTTTACTGCGTTTCTTATACTCATTGATGAGCGGATTTCCAACAGGCAATAGCCCAGTTGATAGGGAATCCGAGGTATACCTATGTCTATGATTTTAACGTCCTTATCCGAGGAGACACACAAGTCTAACCATGCATATACTGATGTCAGTGTAAACTGTAAAGGTAGCAATCACTATCCTCAATTATTTTAAGACCTTGAATAGAGTGAACCCGGGTCCGGCTCCCATCTAGTGAAAGGCAAGCGTGCTGACCGCGACACCACATGCAAGAGCTTATGCATATGAACGAGTAAATGAGTTGTGAATGTTCTGAGTATGTATAGAAGAAGAAAAGCGCAGCAACAATTGCAAGTGTAAACGTGCCTTTAAAAACTTGTTTGTCGTGTTTTCGTTGCCGACTATATGAAGATAAGCGAATCTTTCGGATAAGCGAATCTTTCGGATAAGCGAATATTTCGGATCGGGAGGTGAGTATATATGGGAATCAGGATCGCCTCGATCCCGATCAAATCGGGAGAGTTGGAATAATTGCTTAGTCGATAGACTTGTAAAACGTAAGTAAATAATGGACGTTTTCACGGCTTTCGATAAGTTGTGGGTCCAAACCAATGCGTAACCGGCCTGAACAAACTGATTGCAAACATTCACTTTCAAACTGATTGCATGCAGGAACCATGCACATGCATGAGTATGAAATACAAAATTCAACTCCGACAACAGTAAACATTTTTTTAAATTGTTTCGACTATAGAGTCACTCTTTTCACTAATCGCCGAAACGTAGATTTTGGAGTTACTACTATATTTTCAGTTAAATTATTAATATCAGTCGGAAATGTTGAAACCCTCTTTCAAATGAGAAAGGAAATCCTACAGCCATTATATCAACATGCATGCAGGGAAATTAGGTAAATGTATGCCTGGCTTACAAAATAAACTATATATAAGCTATACCGATTACTATGCAGTGGAAGCTTGCTGTCTTTCTTCCTTTTGCCCGCCCACCTTCGGCTCGTTTATGTTCAGCGGTAATTTGTGAAAAAAGAATGACGTTTTAATATTTCAATGTATAGTGAATGATAACCTCTCTCAGACATGCTGATTAGATTTAAGACCATTTTCCGCTTCGACTGTATCGTAACGCACCGCGGCATTTTCGTTGAAGTGGAAAACAAAACACTGTCGCCGTGAAACTCTCGATATTCTGTTAAGTCGTTGTTCTTTGCATAAATGTTTTCTCAATGTAACACGAAATCATTTTGTTACTATAAATTTACGCATCGTACGCCGACGACTCGACTTGTTTTGCGCACGGGTATGCTGAATCACTAGATACTCTAATGCACGTCGGCCAGAACCGAATTCTCAGTATCGTCCGGTTACATTTAACCTATATATTTTGCGCGCAGGTCAGTTCACTTGAAATCTTAAAATATATTCCCCTTATTAATAAACTTAAAGTGAACTCAAAACTGATGAAAGGTTTTCAGAAATTCGCATCCCCATTTAAAGTCCGGACTACGTAGAAGAGGATATTTGTGACAGAGTACTGAATGATCCTGAAGATACAAGCCATCAAGTCTCTGCATGTTTAATTCTAAACCATTCGAGATTTGAAGGATTCAATGAGTTATTGCGTTGAATTGACTTGTTTTGGCAAGAATTGGATCAGTTTACCGCAGCGAATTTTTGTGAATATCAGCAGGCCGGACCTGATTAGAATAACTGAGAAGGCGTGGTTCCAAAACAAAGAAGCCCATTTCAGGTTAGATTTCACTAGTACCTCGTATCAGCTTATGCTATGAGGTTAAATCCATAAGGTTTATCCAGAAAATTTGTGTTTTAAAAACTTGTGAAAAGAAGCAGTTCAAAACAGTATTTGAGAATTGTTGAATGATGTTGTTGTGCTAACAATGTTGGATCCGTTTCAACAAGCCTTTAGATAACATCAAGACCACAACGGAAGAGTGAAACAGGCGACATTAACAAAAGCGTATTAAAGCGTGAGATCTCATCATAAGGAAAAAAGAAAATTCAATAAATAAAGTATTAAAATTTTATATTTAGGTCCACTTCCTAAATTCTAAACAGAATGACAAAATTTTCTGGTATTCATTTGTTATAAAAGGGATAATCTCTTAAATCAAAACTGTTGCTGTTTTCCAGAGTTTATATGTCATATTAAACCAGTCCTACATAATAAGAAGTCAGTCTAATAACATATGCTAAACAGAAAACTTCCATTATGCTGATATGGTCTTGGATATGATATAAAATTTGAAGCATATGTTGCACAGTGCCAGACGAATTAGATCGCCTGAAGACAAAAGAAATAGGCGCGATTTCGCAGATTATAAAGTTCAATGGACTCTAACCCGATACTAAACCGCCCATTGACATTGTTCCGATTGACGTAACCTTGACATACCATGGGCACAGCATTGAATGTTTCCCAATATAACACGAAAGTGTTTTGTTACTATAAATTTATGCATCGTACGATGTCGCCTAGTTTTGCGCAAATATGCTGAATCAGATACCTTGATGCGCGCTGACCAAAACCGAGTTCTTGCGGTTATATTTAACTTATAATTATATATTGGGTGCGCAGGTCAGTTCACTCAGAAAACTTAAAATGTATTGCCCTTATTAATTAACATAAGGAGAACTCAAGACTGATGAAAGGTTTTTAGAAATTCCCATGGCTACTTTAGCTATGTTGTCGTGCTGAATAGATCGTTCGTTTTCACGCTGTATTTATGTTTACATAATTACATTGAACAATTGGTAAAATATTTCACAGGCACTACAAAGTGGAGTTAATTCGCATTTTTCTCAAAGCGTCTTGTGGATACACAGGTCATTATTCTCAAATGTATCGAAATTAAACATAAATTTAATTCGCAATAAATCAAAATTAAGGCAACTAAAACCTTGATCAAACAATTCATCACGCGATGTAGTAAACAGCACGTAATCAAATATAATCTATTCAGCAGATGGTTTTAAATTTGAACTCATGAATGCTTACCCATTTTAACCCATACGAGAACAAGGGCCAAGCAGAGTAATTTCATCTTTAGACTTCCACTAGTAATTTCCTTGTACATGCGTTGTGTCCAGCCGACGTGTTTGTGTGACTCTTCCGGGCGTTGCGTCTCGCTTTTTATGCTATTTGCTTATCCGGTGGCTTGTTTGCTCCCTCTTGAGTGGGCATGATGTCGTGGAAGGAACAATTAATCCCGCTAATATCCGCTACGTTGTGTGTTTTGCCTGATACGCATGTGGCGACTATTTTGAGAACATAATACGGAGGGCGTATCACTGCTTACAGTTCACTGCCAATTAAAACTATAATTCATTGGAAATCTGAGCTGTCCAATATACAAAAGTTTATGCACAATATTACATAGCCGCGCAACCACGTGTATAAAGATTGAAGGTTTGTTGGGATTACTGATCCAATATAGCCATAATAACCACATATAACGAATCTAGATCAATTAGGCAAATTTGTTATAAATTAGCCAATTGTCTGCGTTTTGACTTTTGTCATTTCCTGCGCGAGAAATCAGCTCCACCCCTTGTATCTTGTGTTTACAACGATTTTGGGAAAATTTGGCATGTCCGACTTTCTACCTCGGAGGTCCAAACTACAGCTGAGAGACACCTAATGGAGTTATGCCAGTTATTCACAATGGCCGTTGCACCAATACATGAAATTCATTATTTGTCGATAACGTCATTGAATAAAGTACGAAACATACTCATAATCGAGGTTGAATCCTTTCTATAGGCTGACGTGTATTACTCAACATCGAGATTTTTCTTGACATGTCTACAGAACGAGGCCAAAGTTAAATTAATTCAAAGATATTTGCTAATTTAGTCTAACGGCTCGCGCGATTAATTATTGTAAGATATAAGCGAAAAGACAAAACATCACTTCTCCTGACACAGACTGATAAGGTGCTGCCCCTCACCTCAACAAGTTAAGCATGCTACTAGTGCATGTAAGTCAAGGGTAAGGTATTACTAAAGATGGATGCCGGATTACTCTGCACAACCTTGATGTGCTGGAAAACTCATGTTGGTAGAGTTGTAGTTTATCTTTCTGTGATTTAATGCGTTTTACTCCAGGTGCTCTGGTTTTCCTCTCTCCGGTGAAAACCGAGAGGCATCTTTGTACTTCGACACGGTCAGTTATAAACTGCATGGTACCACCGCATGCATTGCAATGAGGCTCATTATTCGTTATCACTTAACTTTGCAGTAGCACTGCATTATCTAAATCTATTATGAATCCTCAGTAATGCATGTTGCACACTGGCACATGCCATACCGTACCGTACCCGTGCATGTTGCACAAGTGAAGACAATTTTTACAGTCTTGTTTTCTAGTATGGCCCATGGTTCACTCCGACAACTCTTTTCTTGCATATACCCTTACTGAATGAAAAATGTAAGAAATGGCCCGAAATTGACTAATTGATGGCATGATGAGCAGCATGCGGGCCATGCTCACAATTTCCTTGCCGCACTTTAATTTCCATGTTAGAAATTGCTTTGGAAGCTGCAGCAAAAATCATCCCGTGTAACAGATATGGACGAGTTGAACATGTTGTTTTTAGCACAAGGTCAAAATGGCGCAGACAAAACAAGATTTCTTGCAAGTTTGGAAAAACCATTATAAACCAATTATTAGGCTTAATTATGTGCGTAATTGAACATTTTGATATATATTTAGGCTTTGTTCACACGGGAATGGCTAAATTAGAAACTGTACTCAAATTATTATGACATCGCCATTTTAATTCGCACGAGACGAATGACACGAATTCGAGCATTGCTAAACCTACTGTATATAGGAATTCCCGTGTGAACCGGAAAAAATGGAGTGCGGTTCCGAATTTGTCTTGTCATTCCGCACGGCCATTCTATCTTTTACATTCACCGGCTCGTGTGAAGGCTGTTTCCACTTCAACCGTATTGTATCGAAGCGTAGCGGCATTTCTTTGTCCCATGAGTACTATAGTACAGATGATTTCGACACAAAAGAAAATGCTACGAGTTAATACGTATACGTTACTATGTGATATACGGTTGAAGTGGAATACGGCCTTAAACTTAACAATCAGGAAGAGGGCTCAGTTTTAAATTAGTTCGAATATGAATATTTTTGGTGAGAATATGAATATTTGAAAGCAAATTTAATATTTCAAGAATATCAAAGGTAGGAATATTGAATATATTGACTAGTAGGTAGGAATATTAACTATAAAAGAAAAAATTATCACAGCCACTTTTCATTCTATAGGCCGACAGACTAAGTACGTACTATAATGCACATGTCAGACTCAATGAAAATAATATTTCTACAAAAATTCGTTCCGTGTGGTTTAAACAGTTACTTAAGTTAGGCTCATCATCTTTCTTTTTCAACATGCTTTATGCGATTATACGTCAATGAGCGTGCAGGGTTATGGAACATCTTAACGGTTGCGTACTATAATCTGATTAAGTTTAAGTGAATTTTGTGAAGTGGCTCACTCGAAACTCAATTGATGCCTATCTGAAAACAAAAAAAATCAGAAAGCGAAAATACTATTTTACTTATCCCACACTTACTCCACCATTTTAATGACCAATTTAAAAGCTCACTGAGTACTCATTAGTGCTTAAGCCTAATGAATTATCATACTAGCTGGTATTTGCAGACAAAAACATTTTTTTCTCAACTTAGCGTTAAAGCTTGATATTTTTTCCCACCCACAAAGAATGAGAAAAGTAAATTAAAGTAATGGGGTGCTAATTATGACAGATGTTCGACGATGTTGCTGGATTAATTGCAAAGGACGCCGCCTAAACGCGCATGATCGTGTCCAAGGCCAGGCCAAAGCTTACTAGAACGCGTCCACTCTGGCCTTAATTCGCAGAACCCACTGTAGCACACTTCGCTCATCGGTAAAGGTCGCATATCTCAACCATGCTGCTTGTCCACCAAAATCATATCGTGACAGTGTACTGGAATTTGTACTTGTTCGGTACGACTTTTGGCCGTTTTGGGCAAATTTAGAATCCGCAATCGTTTTAACTCTTCAAACAACATTAACAACAATAGTACTGAGTGAAGAGGAAATGTTAACCCTATAACACAGGTCTATGCGTATCTATATCTATAGTTGCCATATTTATTCTAATAGACGCCTACTATCTACTAAACGCCCTACTCGAGAATAAACACCCAATCAACTTACAGAAATATATATTAAATTCCTCTCTCTAATAAACACCCCCCACTAATAAACGCCCTTTGAGACGATAAAATGTCAAAAAGCCAAGGTTTCATATTTCAACGTTATATTCTTATATTATACGCAATTCATTAGTATTTGTGAGGTTATAATAATGTATGGACTTTTGAAATAACACACGCCCCCCTTCCGAAGTCATTTCTTAAACAAACGCCTAGAGCAAATAAATATCTCAATTTTATTCATTTGCGATATCATGATATCTATACATTTGAGTGCACAAAGAAAACTGGCAAAGAAAACAAGTGTGAAATAATCAGCTTACCTTTATTTTGATTCATATCCCTTTAAAGATCTTAAATTGTCGCCAATATTATTATTATTATTATTTAATCGTATTTAGTGAAAACGCTGCCCTTCAGATTGGTAATAAAATTTGCATTCCAAGTGACCGTTTATATAATGACTAAAATTACATAACATTTCGGTTAAAACAAAAGAACACCATTACGAAAAATAACATAAAGTTCTATAATAATACTATATACTGGATGTAAATGTTTATGTCGATCGTTTATCGCTCAAGAGAATTGTTTTTCGGATTTTGATTCGAATAGAAAAGTCGTTTCTTTTGATAGAATTTGGAAGGTTGTCCCACTGAATGATAAACTACAGCTGAGAAGCCGAGTAAATTCGTTTTTGGCGTTGAAAGCGGTGTACTGATCAAAACTACTCAGAGGGCATTTGGAGACTGCATACATTCGGCCAGCGAAATAAGTCTTGTATGAAGCTGGAATCCCCCCCCCCCCCCCAGAAAAAAACGCAGGGAAGGGGGCCCAAGTTCTCCAGAAGGGGTCCCCAAATGCTGGAATTGCGGAACGTGTTAAATATTTGGGAATATTGAGAAAAATTGAGGTCGAAAAATTCTTAAAAACGCGGTATTTTTAATCCTCTTTTATCCAAAGGTTAGGAAAAAATTTATTGGACCTTTTATTTTCAGGAAAACTTATATCTTCTCCGCCATTCATTTTCCAGGGGCCCCAAAAGGAAAAGGGCCCAAACTTCTGCGTTAACCCCCCCCCCCCCCAAGACATATCGGTCGGCACGTCCCTGAATATATTAGCATTCAGTTTAGTCTGCCTGGAGAAACAAGACAACTGTTTTTGCTCATTTCTCAGCCAAATTGGAAAGAATTTTCATCCTTTCATATAAGCAAAAAAGAATTTTCCAATATCTATATGCAGGAGAAAACAGTGGATAAGGGGATACAACAGTATGCATGATGCATATCGCTGGCAGAGTTATACAGTCTCTGAGTGCATCTATATAGTTATTTTGCTTTATTATAGCCTATTTTTGGCAACTGATCAGCACGAGGACATTACATGATCATATTTCATAATATGATTTTTTACGATTTCACAGCTAACTTAGGGACTGTTGATGCATCTAAAGATATTATGACACCAATGTGGTTCTCTGTGGTACATATAAAAAAATTGCGTGTTGAAGCCTGAAGGTAAAGTCTGCACGTCATCTGGCGCGCGCATGAGGGCACGCGAAAACTAATGAAAAAACATTTTTGTTTTCTCTGCCTTTTAATAGTGAAATTAAGGTCGGGAAATCCGTAACCCAACAAAATGTGTGACCTAAAGGATTATTCTTGTAGCCTGTAGGCAAATTTCAGCCAATATGGACTGATTAAAAAACTACCTACTACAGGTTTACATTATTTTATATTATTATACATTGTAGTTGGTAAAAGCAATCTGATTGGCTAAGAGCTTATAGTTAAATCGCGCAATCACGCAACCTACAAAAAATTCAGTTATCTGCTAGCAGATAACTGAGTTATCTGCAAATGAGCCTGCGATAATTAGCAAGCGGTATCTATTTAACATAAACAAATGTATGATAAAACAATTATTGAATTCGGTTTTTGCGAT